TTTATTTTTATTTTTATTATTCTAGTTTGACCCATTGATCAAATTTCAGGTAGATTATGGAGCTACTGCAGATGAGCTGGAGATCCATTTCAATGGCTGTGGTCCTGTAAACAGAGTTACCATCCTGTGTGACAGGTTCTCGGGCCATCCCAAAGGGTGAAAGAGCTTAGTTTTTATATCCACCATTCTTTACCCTTTATTATTGTATTAATGGAAACATTCAGGCCATGTGCAACAGTCTGCTTTTCCTTCTCGTCTTTTACAGCTTTGCTTACATCGAGTTCTCTGATCGAGATTCTGTGCAGAGTGCCATTGGTTTGCATGAGACTGTGTTCAGAGGACGGGTTCTTAAGGTAAATCTATAAACTCTGACGTCTGCTTTTAGAAAGATGCTCACCGGCTTTCCATCCGTTTCCCTCAGACTTCGGAGGGATTGTTGCTGGCTTGTACAAACCTAATGATAGCTTTGAGCCGTCTCGCAACTCCAGTGATGGAAGGTCAAATTTTTGTTTATCCTTGACTATATGGTGCCTGAATGCTTCAGAATATCAGTGTTTTCTCCTGGTAATATGTTTGATTTGATGGTCATTTTCACAAAGATTTAAGGGAAAGTTTTGAGCGTGCTTAGAAAGGATTTGGCTGCTGAACCATAGATGAAGGTAATCTTGAAATCTACTATAACCTTGACATCAAGTTCCTCTGGATTTCACTGCGACCCAATTAAATGTTTTTGTCTGGCCTGCAAATATTTTTAAATACTGCTAGATTGGGTTAAACTGTTAATTTTGGCCTTCCTTTACACTTCTGTTTTTTTAAAGCAGTGTTTATCCTGAGAATGAATTTGCAGTTTGCCTGAACCCAAGCATCGTTTACCATTTTCCTCTACGTCTTGGGTTAGTTAGCTTAAAGTAAAGCCTACATCACCATCTGAAATGCAGCATTAGGCGGTGCTCCTGGCATTTGAAATCGGAACTTATTGTTTTTGTTACCTTACGGGGTAAATGTACTCCGAACAATTGAAATCTTGGAATGTTTCCAAAATACTTGAATCCAGTGAACAAATTAAGACTTTTCTCTTTCTAGCTACATAAGCATTACATTTACAGTGCATTTCATTGGGCAGTGTGAAAAGCTATATTCAGTTAATGAATAATGCTGTGCAACATATTTTGAGGATGAACTGAACTTTTAACAGATTTATCACTTGACTCTCAGGTATTGCCTAAGAGAACCAACATGCCCGGTATCAGCACCACGGACAGGGGTGGACACAGAGGAGGTCACACCAGAGGCAGAGGCCGTGGCTACCGTCCCCCCAGGTACCAGAACAGTTCCCGAGGTAGATTCCGGTACCAGTCTTCAAGACCGCAGCACCAGTCCCCCCACCCTTACTATGGAGGACCATCAGCGGGAAAGAGACAGTGGGGTCACATGGACTACCATGAACAAACTACGAAACGTTACCCCTGCCTCCTTCTCATCACACCACCATCTGAGGATCTCGGGGCAGCGTCGAGTGGACAGCACTACCCTCAGCAGCGTTAGCACTAGCAGATGTTGGCTGGCTGGAAGGGATTTTTAAACTCTAAATGCTTTCCAGCATAATTTAAGTATTGTGATGCCTAGGATTGACCAGTGTGACTCCTAGGCAAGATCTGACAAAAGCTGACTGGGGTTGATGCGATATAGGTTTGTTGCTGTGAATGCATGTGACGTTCCTCAAGTTGCATCTGTTTTTAAAAAAACTGTGGTTTTGTTTTGTAATGTATAACCCCTCTGTGTGTAACTGACAAGCTCTTTGCTACATGAATAAATAAAAAATAATTGAACACTCAAGTGTAGTAAAAGACACACACTGGTATCCAACAGCATTTGAGTTTATTACCGATTCTTTTTTTTTTTTCCAAGAATAAAGGCAACATGTAAACAGAAGAGAGGGTCATATGTACAGTGGATGCTCAACAGAGAAGGTGAACAGGAAATGAAGTCAGCCTGTCTGTACCATCATTCCAGAAACGATGCCATTGAAGGCCCTGGATAATGAGGTAAATGTTAAAATGCATTTCAAAGCCTTCCCCCCCGTCCCCCACCCTGTGAAATATGTTTGTAAATGTATAACACTAACTTACTTTGACTGAATGGGGTCCCCAGGATTGTAGAATGGGTTGCACATTACATCAGTAAATGAGTTGTGCAGTTTTCTAAACATCTGGAAGAAATGTAATCACAGGAAAAAGATTAGACAAATGCAAACTGCATATCAGTTACCTATTTGACATATATATATATAAAAAAAGAAACCAAACCCTTTAATATGATTAATGCACTGGGAAAGATGACTGGTATAAGTTGCATACAGGTCTGAAATGCCATTCAACTAAGATGCTCAATAGAGTGACCTGATAGACATGGGCTAAAGGTGATGTGTAGGACTTTAGTGGAAATGAGGATCCAGAAGACCAGTTCTGTTAACACAATCGCTTCCTAGCTAAAAGTCAAAACTACTTAAAAACTAAATTTACTTACACTTCGTATTTCATTGTCCCGCAATGATGTATTGGAAGAGTCCACAACAATCACAAATTTCACCTTTGAGTTGGTCACATACCCATATCTGTTTCTTCCAGTTAAGGATACACATTTGTCGTTTCTACACAAAACCTAACCGATCATCTACGTTTTATTTGGCATAGTGCTTTACTAGTATTTGAGGTCTAAAAATGGAGGATACACTTTATAGTCTTCAGTTGGATAGAGCAGTCCCAGGTAGAGCTCCCTCTGGTCTGCTAAGGATTTGCCCACAGCTGAGACCTTCTCTTCCACCACATCCAGAGAGGTGTGAACTGTGTAGTGGAACTTCAGCTCATTTTGAGAGGGTACACTGCGTATATACAGCGGGTAGTTCTGGGGGGAAAACATCAAAAGACAAATATGAAACTGCTAAAAGCAGTATTTAGAAAGAAATCGCTCAAGTATCACATAATAGGAGTGGGAAGTAGTAACAGGATGCCATTATCGATGCTAGGCACTAGCTTTGTTGGATTGCTTAATTTTGGTGAAAGACAAAGCTGACAATCATATACAGGCGATTAATGACGCTACGAAAACCCTGTAAAATGTAAAAAAGTCCTACAGGCAAAGAAATTAAACAAGAATTGGTACCTCTTTAGCGATCACCGCTATGCACACCGCCATGTTTTTGTTCCTCCCCTGAGCTGACAGCTAATGTCACGTGACGAGTTGCATTCAAATGCTGAGGGGAAAAACGAGCTTCTAATGAAAACACATTTTAAAATATGTTTCCTGTTCAAAGAGTGTTGAATTCACGCTAGCTATAGGGTTTAATTTGATTATAAATTGATATTTGACAGTTTTTTAAAATGTTGATAAATTGTCAGTATTTTTATTTAAATAATTTAAAACAGCATTACATTAATCTGTCAACAAATGCAGCACAAAACAACTTTATTTAGTTGTATGTTAGCCAATCAATACAACTAAATAAAGTAGCTTAAAACTTAACCGCATTAAAATCCTAAGTTAACAATTAAGGACCTAAACTTTCGTTTCTTTCCTCGGGTACGTACTGCTCTGGCAGATGAACGCTAACGCAACAATCCTCTTCCGTGATGATCCTGGTGCTCATATGACTACAGCACAGCAATGCGTGTAGTGTGTGCTCCAACTTTAATTCTCATTAGCGTAACAATATGTTGTTCCTTGACAGAAAAGCTGTCAAATGGTTCATCTCCAAACATTATCATCATGCTCATGGATGACGTAAGTTATTTATCTGTGACTGATTAAACAAACCAGCTACGAATGCATCTTTCGACTTATCTTTATGCACTCTGTGTTGACTTCTTGTTTTTTCTCCTGTAAACATTTAGCTGACTTCCTCTGCTCTTTTTTTTTTTTTTAATAGATGGGCTGGGGGGATTTAGGGGTGCTTGGTCAGCCCTCCAAAGAGACCCCTAATCTTGATGCCATGGCAGCTCAGGGGATACTTTTAACAAACTTCTACACCGCAAACCCACTTTGTTCCCCATGTGAGTCGGCAGAAACAATGGTGATACAGTGTCTGAGTCATTTGTGCTTGTTTTTCCAGATTAACCGAATAGATATCATAGAAATAGAAATCATGAAAGTGAAAAATGTTTCTTTTTCAAGTGTAATGTCAGGTGAACAGAAATAGTACCATTGTGCTGCACATTTTTTTATTGCTTTGAAGTTAAATGCTTCTCATTCTTCATTTATAGAGCAACACATCATGGGGTTATCATGTGACAGACCTGAAAACCTGCCAAACCAGCTCAGTGTTTTTATTTGTTTTAATATGTGAGGAAGATTGTTTGCTTGTCTTTGTGAAATCCTCTTTCTGAAATAACATCTATAGTTCATTAGCAATGAACTATAGATGTGGTTCATTGCTAATGAACAGAAGGAATGGTCTGATGAAGACATAATTTAGTACATGCAGATTAACCACAGGCATGTAAATGGTTTGATTTTGCGAGAAGCTGCTGTTAAAGGGCGATGTCATTACCGACACCTGAATGAGTTGGACAGTGGAGGATGTATGAAGCTACGTGGACTAGGATACTAATTCATATTATGTGGGTCATACAGGTGACCCAGTGACCTTAGGCTTGGGGACGACAGGAATCAATACTCAGAATTTGAACAATGCCAGTGTTAACCTGAGCAGCACCTTTCATTCAGATCTTAGCTCAAGTCTTTTAATCTATTTTTGATCTTGAATGTTAAGAATCTTCATTGCAATGTTCACATTGGAGCAGGAACTAGTGAGAATCCCATTTACAGATTTATTTGTTGACAATAAGAACATTCAAATTAAGGGCTACAAATGTTAATATTAATTTTGTCTACAGCGCGAGCTGCGCTCCTCACTGGGAGGCTGCCGGTGAGGAATGGATTCTACACCACTAATGCTCATGCCAGGAATGGTAAGCTTTCACAATATTTCTTGCTGCATACAAGTTCCTCTTTCGCTATATTGTGTAAGTACCAGCTGTGTGTTCACCTGGTGACCAATTTCTTCTGTCTTTCCCTTTTCTCTCACACTTAAACCTTTCAAAACATCAAACGACATGTAATGTCAGACAAAGACAATCTGAGTTACGTCTCAAACATTTAAGTGTGACAAAATAGCAGAAATGAAACAAATGTGAAGTGTAGACACTTTTCAAACCACTGTGTTTTAGTCACATGTGTTTGCGTGTGATTAAAAGCTTTTATGTATTTTTTCTATTTCTGTAGCTTACACGCCACAGGAGATTGTGGGAGGAATCTCCAAGGATGAGATTTTGTTGCCTGAAATGCTAAAGAAAAACGGTTATATCAGCAAGATTGTTGGCAAGTGGTGAGTTTTGAAGTATTTCCTACATTTTCTACTTTCTTTAAACATTGTAATAACCGTATTATTTGCAATGGATGCGTTGGTCCTCCCTCACTTGTTGTTTTTACTTTTCTTTCTTTCTTTCTTTTTTTTTGCAACATATTGACTGAGTTTTGTCTGAAAATGAACCAAGCTAAATTCTAAACTCTTTTGGTTCTTCAACTGTAATCATTTCACTTTTGGATGAAACAAAAGAGAGAATGCACATTAAAATCCTGATTTTGGCTGAGACTGATCAACTATGACAAAATGCAGAAAAAAATATAACAAACATGTAGACATGGTCACCAACCTATCCAAAGATGATTGCCTAATCTTTGATTATGCAACTAATTATCTTGAAGTTATGCAAATTGCAGAAGCCTTACATGTTCTGTTTTGAATAAAAAGCTGAAAACACAAACAACGTCTTGAGACATTGTACATGATTAGGCCTGTAATGATAACGCATATTACTGGTCGATATAAATTGTTCCAGCAGTTATTGCGACAAACGATAATATTGTTGTTTTCAGACCATTTTTAAGTAATATAATGGTAATGGCAACATAGTAATGCAATAACACATTCTTAAACATCAGTAAACTTTAAATTCTAATGGATATTTAACACTGGAATTGGAAGACATTTTAAATATCCAAAATAAATAAATAAAACAACAAATCAAGTGAATTTTGAAGTCTTCATAAACAAAATTGTCCTTCAAAAAAAAGGGGCTAACTGGAGACTTTTATCATGCAGTTTTTAGAAAGAGAGGGAAAAAAGAGATAAAAGAAAAATCATGCCAATGGATATTATTGAGTTTGCTTTAATTTATCATGCGATTAATTGACGAAAATGACTAATGCCTAATTATTAGGCATTAGTCATTTTCGTAATGACTAATGCCTAATTATTAGGCATTAGTCATTTTTGTCTTACAGTATCTGACTGTCTCTTCTGTCCTTCTGTGTTCATGCAGGCATCTGGGCCACAGGCCGCAGTACCTACCTCTGGAGCATGGTTTTGACGAATGGTTCGGTTCCCCAAACTGCCACTTCGGCCCTTACAACAGCAGCGTCCGACCCAACATCCCCGTCTACAACAACTCTGAGATGATTGGAAGGTAGCGTCGCACACACAGGCACAGACGCGGAGACTAAAATTCAATAAAAGCGTGTTTTCCCCACCTGACTCAGTTGTATATTTTGTTTGTCTGCTCCTCTGGATGAGCTCAGTGACTCCCTCCTCCCCGTCTACACTTCCTCCTCTGTACCAGCTGGGCCTGTGTATTCCATTTTCCGCCCATTTGTTTTCCCCAAAACAGCCATATGTGTATTCAGGGTCATTGGAGCCGGCAGCCGGGCGTGTTTTTCGCTTAGCCGTGGGTTTAATCAGCGCTGCATACCTGGGCCCTGGACAGAAATGTGCACACGCT